CAATACTAACCTACAACAGTCATTCCGAGGTGCCTACACCTCCAGATACTCATTCGGACGGTCTGAATAGAAACTGACGCAAAAGTACCATTGACGTGGACTAGTCACTATGCCTTGCATTGTCCCCAACCACGTTGAAGGATTGCGTGGATCCCATCCTGGAGGACGAGCCGCGACGACAACACCAAGACTGTTCGTGATCGCTCCGGATCGGGCACGCAAAACAACACTCTTCAGTGGACACCGATTAGGCATGCGCAATACATGAGTAAACCACTCCAGCCATCAGTGTCAGAGAAAATCTTCGATGTTCCTGTTCACTGCCGAACACTCGTTTTCTAACTGACCCGTTGCGAATTCGCCAACAACAGCCTAGACATGCCAGGGTTCTGAGACGGCGAATATCGATGGCCCGAAGACGTCCGAGGTATACTATTCGCACAAACTACGCCCCAACACCATACATTAAAACGACCCGTATTGTAGCCTCATATGTCGAAAGGCTCACACTGCAACCCGTTAGCCAGACATGAGAATTCAGATGCATACAACAAACGCGTAACACGGTAACACGTCCACTTAGCAATACCAGATGTTCGAAGTTCACACTCCAGTACGGCCAAGGAATATGTGCTGCTGCTGAACTCTGGTGAAAGCAAAATCTTTTCGACGCGGACTTCAATCAGTCAACCATTCGACCAGTTTTTACATCTGCGTTTAATTGGAAGTCTTTACATTTACAACGCTACCGTGGCGTTAGATAGGAGGGAAGAGAGCACAGTGAAGACAAGCCGAATTATCTCTACAAAAGTACAGCCGATGCGAAAAAATAAGACACTAACCTCGTGACCTTTGAAGGTTTTTATTGGAGCTGATTGCCCCAACTCACAGACGTGTATGTTTGTGTCTGTTGAACAGGACGCAAACGCGGTGAGTGACTGCCAGTCAACATCGAGGGTGGGGGCTGAAAGGAGAGCCAGCAGTGATGAGTCATTCGGACATCGTAAACAATAGCCGAAATAAACAAACACGAACTAGAATAAGGGCGGAATGTGTGTGACAAGATGGTTAACTACGGACAGGAGGCAACAATGACCATCAATAAGATAAACTTGGCGCACGTTTAATCCGTTGCAGTGGACGATCTTCCGTCGACCTTTTTGTTTCTGCGAACGGAATGGTGTCATGGTCACCGTTCTCTCTCGGGTATTCCTAAAGCAGGACATGTAGGCCATAGAGAACAAAAAGATTTCAACAATGGACGGGGGTCTATCGATCAACCGAAATATTTTTTTGAGAAAAGTTTTACGGCGTCAGCCTTGCGTCCAAAGGACTAATCCAGGGGGTGTTAGTTCGAGCAGAGTTGTCTGATGATAGCCCTTTCGGTCACTTGCCGCTATGCCACCTGAAGGAAGCACGAACGTTGTGATACTGCCACACTGCCCAAGCTTAGTTTTTCCCTTTGCTGGTCTACAGTACTTCTCCCTCTTCCTCCAGAGAGGAAGATTTGCCACTATTAGTGACGAACCGACTAACTCAGTCTGAGATGACAACAGGGAAACGGCATTCATAGTTAATGATTTGAATATGAGTACAATAGAAAAGCGGATACTTCAGGTCGACGTTTAACTCGTCGCAGTATGGACAGAGTGCATCGATCTAAATTATCCACTATTTAGCCCAATTGATAGGTTTGCGCTCCCGTCATTCAGGATAGGAATAGTTTATCCATGCTCGAATTTTGGATGCTCTTTTCTGATCTTGCTCTGATGCCTTCATCTCATCAACAAATTAACTGTTTATCCAACAGCGGACGGCTACATGCAAGCAGATTATTCTAATCTGATCAGCTAGGCTTTCCACTAGGCATCAAGTCAGAGATTGTCGAAGGAGAATCCGCTGTCCAGGTGTGCTCCCCGAGTCATCTGTCGTGATGGATACGACATGGGTAATGGTAGAGTGTTGGGTACTGAAGATGATGCTCCTCACTAGCTGATACCAGGAGCTGAATTCGTGTCGAGCTAAACGTTGCAAATAGACGAATCACACGGACACAGATTAGTTCGAAATGAACCGTTGAATTCACGATCCAAAAACTTCTGGTGTTGGGGTTGATTAGGGAACACGATGATTGGCCGACAAAAACTAGTACATGAACCCAAAACACAAACTGGATGAACACTGTTGACCGGAAACGCGGTTAAGTGCGACCAGCACAAATGTGATTGCGCATCCAAAAAGGGTTGATAGAATTCTCGCACGTGTTGAACTTAGACGGACCGAGCAGCCACTGATAGCAGACACCTTCGCAGACGCGACACGGATAGACGACACACGAAAGCTCGTAAATGCACATGGGACAGGCCACCAACTGGGTCAATCCTATCACAAACAGCAGATGAGTGCACAACACAGTGGTGCGGCCGTTGAAATGCAGCGACGTAAACATACACGATATGTACCCGGGCAGTGTCTGATCACAGGACGTGACAGGTAACTGGAGCAGAACGCATAGGTGATATCTGGCGCAGATGACGTTCATCAACAATGGTGGACTGAAAATTATGAACCAGCACACGACTCTCTAAACAGAGATGGTTGTGGAATGCTTTATTCGAATGGCATAGCAGCTAGACACCAACAGGGATGCAAAGATGAACAGTGTATTGGCTCGACAAGAACTCTGTACTTGGTCTTCCTAGGGCCTTGAACTAAAATCTAATTGAAATTAGCTGAAGAGAGAAACATGGGACGCGCAGACATACGATGTTTACGGGAGGCTAACAACCTCCAACAAAAAGAGACCTGAACCAAAAAGCACTGAGGTTAGGACAGCGGACCCATAGATACGTTTTTGGGATGGCGAGGCAGTCAGAGTGAAAACTCTCCTCAATGGTTCATTGGGAATGTTGATCAGTACGGCGACAAAAAATGAATACGAGAACCATCGCGCAAACATAGTAGGGCGGTGGAGATCAGGGTGCGTTGTTCAAAAGAAAAGAAAACCAAACAGCGACAGTTCAACGACGGACGCGGTAATCACCCACAACACTCAAGGAGAGAATAAAAATTTCTATACAGAAAAGACTAAGATACTTTCACACCATTGTTGGAACGTCGAACTATGGTCTTCAGCTCACGATGACTGACCCCTATTTGGTTTGATATGATATTTTGCTCGACTGAGCCCGTTTTGAATGAAACTAAAAGAGCTACCTTTGATTATTTACATTTCACTCTGTTACCATCTGGGTTAGGCACACACCAATATCTCACAAAGGAAGCTCATTATGACGAGTGAAAAGCCCATCAGTCATCACGCGCGGATGAGTCCACGAAGCCTGAATCACACTCAGGGATGGAATGAAAAGTCAAGACGTTTGTGTCACAAGTGATGCTGAGTGAATGCTCGATAAAGCAAGTGAAGTTTCGCCTCACTAGGGACCCGGTTAGGAAACAAATAAAGTTTCGGCAGTATTCACCACAAAGGTAGCTTAACCCATAGATCACCCCATATACCCTACTAAACCACATGGGTGAAACTCCAAAAAGTTATTGCCTGGTTGATGGCTCAAGACGTTTGTTCAGCATCCTCGCTTATTTGAGGCTGTTCTCATACCCTAATCAACAGAGTCGAAGAAAGACAAACAATGATTACTTTGAAACATTCATATCACAATTTTATCGGGTACTTCCAAGATCCCAAGTTTCTGGAGTTGCTACGTGACAGACGTCAAAAAGTTTGCGCCCGTGAATTTATGCTCGATTCTTACTAAGTGTTAGGTTGTCAGCTATAATTGTCAGCTATAATAACCGCGTGCTTGTCGTTCGGTGATTGCAGCTGCCAGAGTTTCGTTCACCGATGATTCGGGGAGGTGGGGTAGATAGCCGCGCATTGGAGGCGGGAGCTGATAAGTTAGTGCATAAAACAGCACTGTAGGTGGAAGGTTAAGTGAGGGGATTGGGAAGGGGGCTATGCATTGAAGGCAATAGCTTGGATGCGTGAGCGGTATATAGGGTTGGGGGGCAGAGCATAACCCTAGTACTGAAGGCACCATGTTACGACACATCTAACTGCAACATGTTGTTGTTCTTATGCTGGATACGGTGGTCAAGAACGATGAACAAGTTTGTGTGGTTGAACAACGAGAAGTTGCGTGACACGCTTTAACCCTACCAGAGGTCATCGACGTATGGCAACTAATTTGCGGAAGCCAACATCCACAGTTTTCATAATGCTATTGTTTCAAAACCCTACAGTTGTAGAGTCGACAGACCACGGTACCGCTCAATCTGTTCTGCACAAATGTAAGATGATGAAGTTTTCTTATACGTGGCAAACGTATTATGCAACTGTTATAGGCAAGACTCGCGAGGAGTACGCAGCAGCGAGTCCAAAGAACGCATACACCAAAATCGAATATACAACGCGAGTGAACATGAACAGCACCTGGTGAGACTTAAAATTTTCTGGTGATGTGTGTTCAGCTAACGATCATCACAGACAGCCGTTACCTTTGACAGAGGAAGTTGATCACAGAACCAAAGCGGTCAAGGTGTAGTAAGAAAAAATAATTGTTCTGCGTACTAACCGATGTGAAATGCGAATTGCTGAGCTATCCGACCGGTTTGAGCTTCCCAGATGATGGTGGTCTGTGAAAAATGGAACATGGAAACGAAAACGTCGGTTTAAGGAAGGACGCTTTGACGTTTGTTAACGCGGACGATGGTGAATGAATTGGATGACACGTAAACACAAAGAGACTTACGAACGATCAAACATGCGGTAGACATGCTAATAATGTGTGCCACGTCACTGGATTTTCGATCGATACAAAGGTACACAAAATGCGCTACCAATCACCTTCAACAGGCTAATTATAGCCCTCCAATCCGGACTAAGTTACCTCGAGCGCCGACCGCCAACACACCACGAGAACGAAAAGGAACGCGACAGACGATGACCTTGTGCAAAAAGTGAAACTTACAAATTACCGATGCTCGCTTAAGGTTGGGTCTGCCTAGTGTTTAGTGGTCAGACGATAAATGATAAGAAAAAAACTACTCGGATTACACGAGTATCATACTAAGTTGCTTCTGGTAGTGTGCTACCTTCGAACGGACCAAACGGGCTACCTTCGCAAGTTAGGTCGGTAGAACTCTAGCTCCGTAGCCAGGTGCTGTTTCGAAGATCGTGGGTTCAGTACAGGTTGACATGTGTTGACACTTATGAGCTTCAATCAAATATTCTGAACGCCCGCAGAAAAATTTTGGACTCAACAAAGGAAGAGGTTCTGCTACAAACCCACCAGGAACTCAGTGTACTGTTGAGGGTTGTACCCCCCCCCCCCAGATGAATCTGAGTCGAAGTCAATAGTGATCTCAGGCGATACACAATTACAGAGGTTTACGAGTAGAAAAAGTAAAATCATCAGCACAACCCCTAGTTAGGCTAACTGTACTCTTATTTTTCAAGAAGACTGGCGGCGCCGAGTGAGATGGCATGAAGGAAATAAAGTGGGATACGACCCCGAGCAAGGCAGAAAAAAGGACGCTTTACTTTGGGATACAAGCCCCATTTAGACACGTTGTATTTGGTGTTCCATCAATAAAGACGCCACAGGATCCTTTGAAATGAGGGAAATTAACTGGAATATCACTTCGGAAGTTGGCACTGGGAATTCTTGCCATTCTCATCCGTGTCAAGCTCCGAGAAAACGGAAGTTCCACAAAAGCAAGGCAGTGAACTGATCGGCCAATGAAGAGAAAGACGATACACTCTACTTCTAAAGCCCAAGTGGTTAGAGCGCGAATTTACTGACCAAAAGGTTCCTGGTTTGAACCCAACCTCTGCCTTCGACTTCCTCTGTCTAGGCTTGGGCAACCTGGCAGTATCCCAGCCCTCGTTCAACCTTCGGGTGGCATGGCAGTTAGGCACCGAAAGGGTGCTACAGCCGAGCGACTATGTTGATTTTTTTTTCGGACATACAAGTAAGGTTTGGAAGGAATGACCGGCACGGCCCTGGAAAAACTGTTTTCTTTTAGTGAACAAAGCAGTGGACACAGAAGTTACACCTACCTGGTGATTGGTGGTCAAAAGACGTATACCACCCGCTGATTATGGCAGCTTATCATTAATCAAATGTTCTGAGTTCCAACCTAACATTTCCGGATACTTTTCTCTATCGTTGAGACACCTGTTGGTTAGGCCTAAGTAACCGTGCTCGCAGTTCCATGTGAACTGATGTACACATCTGTATTTTACTCCAATGGATGGCGATTCACATTTGGGAACTGTCTCTGCATTTCTGTGCGTCCCTTTTAACGCTCACACCATAAGTCGGGCTGATCGGGAGACGTTGCGTGCTACCCTTTGAAGGGGATTTCTGTGAACACGAGCCATTTGGAGGAGACCGCACAGCTTGCATCAATTTAGGTCGTTTTGTGAAACCTTAAAGAAATCCGGTCTCCGGAGTAGTAATGAACACAACTAAGTTATATAAAGTGGATTCTGATAGGAATATATAACGTGCTCATAAGGACAGGGATTTGATTAGATTGCGCTTTTAATTTAAAGGAAGAAAACCTGGAAAATGCTACACTGCTAAGACCGTGTAGACATTCTGTAAACGTTATGTTTAACAGAATAGCCGGACCTAACACCATGGGTTTGTGCAATAGTCAGTTTTTTTGCTCGCACAAATCTAACAGCTGATGCGTTGTCTTTGGAGACGAACAGTGTCATCAACGCAGCGATCGCAATGCTCGAGCACTCTGACGGAAAAGTACTGTTACATTTTCAGAAATCTGATTCAACTACAATGCACAAAATAAGGTAACTGTACCACATTCACAAGCCAACAGGAGTACACCAAGAATGGCGGTAGAGTCCACGCTACTAGATTGGTCTCCGGTTGATACCAGAGTTTGTACCGTAGAACTGAATGGTGCATTCCAAGTACTAAAAGACATGTACCAATAAATCTTTTCGGTCAAGCATGCATATACTTCAACTAACAACAGCCCTGATGCTGAGAGAAATGATTATCCTGGCAAAATGCATGGGCTTTTTGGGAAGACATCCTGAAGTGGTTTCGGAACCGGGAGATTCGACACCAGCGTAGGTGACCGACACTCTGTAAGTGCTCAACTTAACGGTGGAGAACGACTATCACAGCTTGGCGTAAACAATCCATCTGGCATGAACATGCGTCCGTGTACGACAGCGGGGCACCTGGTGCCTACCACCTGAACAACCAGAGAGGCAGAGTGACAACACTGCAATCAGATATTGCTAGCAAAGCTAATTCACAAATGTTAGCTTGGAAAATGTATGTCCTAATCACATTCTCATAGATTCGAAGGTTGTGGAGTGCGCAAAAACAGTGAAAAACATACGGACCCAAGGACCGGGAAGCAGGAATATGTGTACTTCACCCAAGTCCGTGATATTAATTAGGTCTCAGAATGTTCTTAAAAACTGACGGTTTCTATCTGGCACCTTAGAATGAATACCAGACGCTGAAAGGACTCTATCTGGCCACTGAACACCGAGGGCATCAACTCAGAAGTAGCTGTAGTCGTTGCAAAAGACCAGGCGATAAATAGAATAACGTAGAAATACGGCATACTTACACACGCACGCATGGTCGCGAGGTCAACGTACATTTGGAAGGACGCATAGAAATGCCTCTGTGCATTTCTAGTCTACAGCAGTGTAACGTGACCCTCACGAACAGAAGACATCAAACGCCTTTCCATCTTCGGCCCTCGGAGCATAACTTTTGATCGTGCAGCCGACAACGAAGTTTCCCGGCCTCCAGAAAAGAAAACTACTAAGCGCAACCACCTCTCAAAGTAAGTTGAGGTGGTTGAGGAATAATCTTCCAATGCTCAAGCATAGTCCAAGTCAACACATACCATTTACCGCCAGGCTTTTCTCAGTCGGCGGGTCCCATTTCCCCCAATATGGTCGCAAGATGAGAATGCCTAGATGAAAACACTTATTGAGTCCAAAGACATGCGGTGTGAATTGTCATCATAATTCCTCCCTCTTCCGATAGGTTACGTAGTAAATATGAAAATGTTGTTTCCGGGTGGACGGCAGTTTGGCAGTGGTGAGTCAGTAAGGAATGGGTGCACATCAACAAATTCCTGTTTTCTGAATCTTGTTTGAATTAGCCGAGGAATTCGCTTGGAAGGAACGACATTCAACGCTAGGCTCACTTACCTTGTCGACACCAGCTGTGAGGATATAGTTGCCTTTCTTGTTCCATTTGAGTGCAAAGATCGGACCTTTGTGCTGGCCCAACGTGGTTGCAAGTTCGCCTATGAGGAGTCCAAGATAAATAAAGATATACGGAAACATTAAAAGATTGTCGAGAAAATGCGGCGGTGAAAAAACTTCGGTACAATAGTAATCATTACAAAGAGGTGCTATCCGATCAGCCCGGAATAAATAAACCTCACGGTTGTACAGCACAAGCTTAGTTTGGGATGAACTATGCGAAAATTGGTAACTATCTGAGAGCAATCAAGTAATGAAATCGCTGGATGGATGCATCGTTGGATGGTCTTCAAAAACTTGGAGTTCCAATTGTAACCGGTGAGAGCCTTGTCAACTTGGAGTACGCAGTCGATATCATCCCCATCTTCGAATACCGTTCAGAAAAAAATCGTTCAACTGTAGCACCTTTTTGGTGCCTAATCGCCATGCCACCAGGAAGCACGAGGGCTGGGATAATGCCAAGCCCTAGACAGGGGAAGTCGAGAGACAGAGGTCGGGTTCGAACCACGGACGTTTCGGTCAACAAGCTCGCGCTCTAACCACTGAGCTATCTCGTCCCCCACCATCTTCGAATACCAAGGCGAAGCAAAAGCCCTGTTGACTGACCAACGTTATACCATCTTTTGCCATGCACCTTCAAAAAGCAGTCATGCTTCAAAACGTACAGTCTTTGAACAAACCCACAGCAATTCACAGAGAATCACTGGTGGTTGTGGACAGTTTTACATACCTCGGTAATCGTATTCGCTTTTCCAATGAGGTTAGTGCGAAAGTCTCAAAGGCACGAATCACGTTTGCTAATCTGCGTCACATGTGAAGTCAAAGGAGCATATCACAAGGTTTTAAAGGTCACGTGTACAAGGCTGCGATGAGGGCTGTATTGTTGGGTGATTGCCAGACATGATCTCTGCAGACAGATGATGAAAAACGTCTCTGTTTTTGACCACCGATACTTCAGAAGCGTTGCTGGTTTTGGATGGCGTCAGCCTGTTAGTAGCGGAGTGAATAAAAAACGGGTATTTGATTGTGCTTCGGGTACTTTAATCCGGGAATTCATCTAGCACAATCGACGACGATGGCTCGGTCATGTGTTACGCATGCCGAAACACGGTCTACTGAGAAGAGTGCTGTTCTCCGTTCCTCCTTCAGAGTGGCGCAAACCGCGAAGCGGACAACATATGACTTGGAAGAAGGGCGTGAAAGATATTACGAAGAGTTTGGGTGTTATACGGCTTCCAAGATGGGGTCTCCGTGCCCCCATATGCTTGGCTGAAGACAAGGCAAGAAATGGCGGTTGATTGATGTTAGTGGCGTTCGTGCTGTCAGTTTCTTTTCAGATTGTGTCACTGAGGACTTGGAAGTATATGCACCTCAGAATGCTTGACACAGGCCAGTGCTACGTTCCTCCCTCACTCATTCTTTTCCTCTTCTATTCACTTCAAGGCTTTAAATATAATTAAATGAACTTTATGCTGTACGGCAGTGAAAACCCATGTTTAGATTGATGTCTTTGATGATGATGATGATGATGACTAGCGCACGCTGTGTGCAGCCTAATTATTACGTATCAACAGGCAAACCTGTTCACGTTTGGAAGACGCAGCTGATTTGCTCAGATTCCCCAGTCTAATGAGTGACTGACCTGTATCAATGCCTACTTTGAGCCGTTGGCAGGAGCCACAACGGGACTCACGTTCCGGATCGATTCGTGGACACAATCGACAACACAACGAGCGTCCGCCGTCAAGCCCCTTCGATCATAAAGATTGTGTGAGGGTAGCGAAAAGGCAACCAGGGGGGGCCGAACGCACTGTTACGATGAGTAACAGTCTAATGGGAATGGATAGCAAAGCCATACCGCTATCGAATCCCTACAGGATAACCAAACAAACCGAGGCGTTCCGGATACAAAATGACAAACACGATGAATCCAGCTGGGTTTGCTTGTTCAAATATTGATAAGAAACACAAGACGTGAAACCAACTGTGAAACTTACCGTCCATGTTCCATACTCTTGCAAACCCATCGTAGGAGCCGGTGGCTAGGAAGCTTCCGTCGGACTACAAGCAGCCAGTTGGTTCGGACAGGAGGGATTGGAAAAACAGCGGTGAAAATGACTAATGACAGTATAAAGTAGCTGGAGTGAAATTTGGTTGCATTTGCTACGTTAGCCTATGGGTAACAGCTGCAATTCGTAGAACCTAACAGCTGGCATCAACTACCCAGACCAACTTCAACTCCTAATGGCGAAGCTAGCATCGTTCACTTGGTTGCATAATGGCGAATCGTGAGTGGAGAGGTAAAGGTGAACGGTTAAGACATAAAACCTTACTGAATCCCACAAACAGAACCGAAAAGTCTGCCCACAGCAGAACGATCACATTCAGTGCGTGAGCTCTAAGGCATAGAAGTCACCTGATATACTTTGCCTGATCTGTGTGACAGAAATGCGGATGGAAAGCCCAGTAGTCAAGGAAGTCGAAACAGAAACAAATTAAGATGGGCATCCGCGTTAACCAAGTAATGAGCGTACGACAGACCACGCCCCTGCCAAGCACTAGATCGAACAAACGATGAACCGTTTTAGCTATGTACTAAGGAAGCGGGTGTTGGAACTAGAAAAGCCGTCGCCCTTCAAAGCGGATAGCGACGCAGCGAACGAACGCATTAGAGAAGGCCAGCTGCAAACGAATGCAAGAATGAAATTGTTTAATCAGAATTAGCGAAAGCATTCGTCCTGAAGTGAACAGGTGTTCGTGATATAGAACAGGGGATTTCCTTCTCAGCTATCAGTGGGCGACAATATCGTATCAAAAGCACCTCCACCATCAACAATGGTAGAGAACAAAGATATCACCCTAATCAGGGCAAGACAATGGGAATGCCTGAATTGAATGTGTCCGTCTCCAGGGATCATGCTTCACTCCGAGAGAAGAATGGCCGAGTTACCGCTGGCCTACAACCTACATCAGAGCCGCGTTCACCTAATCAGTATGAGCATTTCCTCGGAATCTGACCTTGCTGACACCATCGTTCTTCTATTTTCTATGTACGCCCTTTAGGTGTCCACATTAGTTTAGCAGCTTCCTATCTTTCTCTCTGTAACACAACCGAGCATGATCATGGCCGAGTTCGAGGAAATTCAACAACTGCTAAATAGATTTCGTGATCATATTACCACCGTGTGACTGAATCAAGCCAATAATTATTATTAATCGCTCATCCTTTTAGTGCTCAGCTGCCAGATTGCTCAAGTCTAGACAGGAAAAGTCCAGGTACCCAAGTTGGGTTCGGAACACGAATCTTACGGTCAGTAGCCTCGTGCCTTTACCACTAAGCAATCTCGAGCTCAATCAAGTCAATGACTAAAGTGGCTTTATATTGCTATCTTGTTGTCACAGCAGTAGGTAGTATGGCACAACTGAGCACAAAGGTCGAAAGTAATGTGTACGGAACAACATTTGTTGAACTCAATACATAGGAATTCCATGAAAATTGTCTACTACGATCCTACTTCCTATGTCAGTGACAACAGTACGAACGTGTTTGTCGTCATGACGGTTGGCAATGAACTCATTATAGAAACCACACAGGTCCCGACTTCGGCCGTATTGAGCGACACCAAAATGACGAACCTGCTGATTGCATAATGAGGGTTTAATGAGGGTTTTAGCGAATAGTTGTGCAAAACACTGTAAGCTAAGTAAGCTGATGAATCGTTGAGGCATGGAGGCCGTGGTGACAATAAGAATACGGTGCTACCTCCCGTGAACGGGAATCGAACGGCGAACACGGTGCGGTAGACATGAATGACGGCTTGCAATTGCTGCACTTACTGATTTCACAGGAAGACCGACTAATGTGACTAGTGTTGGGAGCTACAGAGTGGGATATGGGTGTTAGCAGTCGTACAATTCGCTTATCCTGCCGTGTTCAGCCAAAAAACAACCATGTTGACAATGACATGCAGAGCCTGATGCGTCAAGCCGGTATACCACGGTTATATGCGAGCCCCTGTACCTTAAAGAGGCTGAAACTTACAAAGAAGACAACTCGGGTCCACGTTGAAGATCTTAACTCAATAACCCAACCCGGTTAAAGAGTACACAGGGAACTAGACTACACGAACCTACTTACATCCAAGTTTTATAGCCGTCATCATCGACGGCATGACACCACGTTCAACATCGACGCTTCGCTGCCCTATGACCATGATTCATTTGAAAGCCTCATTGTCAAGAAAAGCATAAAGGTGGATGGGGAAGGGACCTAGTGCGATGCTGGTCCGAAAAACCGCCTCACCGAAGTCCACTGCACGGCAGAAAGTCTGACTACTAACCGTGTTCAGTTACCAACCAACTAGACAACTTAAACGCTCCCGACTGCTAGCTTGAACAAGCCATCTAAAACCCATCTGCTGATTAGTGTCCAAGAAACTTCCAGTTTGGTCTACCTTATCGTTTCTTCATCCCTTTACCGACATCCGTATCTGCCCGGTACTTTGGACACACGACTATGCACCCCTTCTGAACGAATTCCTGAAAAGCCTGTGAAAACCAGTGGACTTCGACCTTTCGAACCATTGAAGTTGTTACCAACTAGAATGTTGTAAACTATTACAGTCATTGAGCGAACGGTACCCTGAACTGAGATAGAAGTGAACTGCATTCACAGAAGAAGCTATTGCGACTTGACTTTCGTTGCCACACATAATAACTTTATTGTCTCGGCTATACTAACGGGAGCTTAGCCGAATCATTTTATCATATTAATAACTAACGATTATGTTTAATTACTCGGGTCATATCTTCCTCTGGACCTTTTGTTAGGCCTGTGTTATTCGCAAAGAACTACTGCCTACATCGTTATTGATAAACGAGGAAACAAAGATGGCCATTACAGCGTTGAAAAATGCAGTACAAACTGCGCCATATCATCATTCTCCACATACTCTTTACCTAACTCCCAAACCGTCACCGTTACAAAGGGCATTGATCTCAGTGCACTGATGAAAGCATATCGGTGCACCAGAATCAAGCTCCCTAGCAGAGATTAGAACCAACGGTTAACATATATATGTGGTTAACTGGAGAGTTAGCCGATTGCAGATTCTCGATGGTCTTACAACAATGCTGTTGATGTAGATCAAACAAAATATACCATTCAGTGAGTGCAGTCGGAAGCGCTCGGAAACATTCGCTCTAAATGAGTACGGACACAGTGGGGGTTCTCATGTGGCCTAATGTTTGTGAGATAAAGTCTGGATTGCGCTAATCTGTGAGTTTCACGAACAGACATCTGTTTAGTGACGCGGGTCAAATTTATCCTACATACCGTTAAACAAATAAGTCAGAATCCACTTAAACGGCATATAAAGCTGAACGGACGGACTGAAAACGGTCTGTATGGAGGTATGTACGCTGCATATTCGAACGGTATGTCAGACGATGAATTAACCAGTTCATGTAGCATATAGTCCAGAAATGCAAAGTAAAGACAGATCTGTCTCTTACGTTGGATGGCACCTGTAAGTTACGGAACAGCGAGACTAAGGGCACAATATACGGCGTTCTAGATTGTGAGTTTTAAGGAAATCAGGAAACACTGGTCGGATACGCAAAAATAAAAATTATAAGCAAGATGACATAGAAGTTGGAACGAAAAGGAACCGTGCCAAAATAGATGACAATCGCTGCCGCGTGTGATAAAAAAGGGATATCTAAAATACCAACAAGATAGTACATCCACTAAATGAAGGATTCATTGCTAGCAGTCAGAAAAGCAAATCCTGAACGTTTCGGCAGTTTGAGTTGTTCAGCACCGTGACTGACTGCAAAAGAGTGCGCAACAATTTAACTGCCAATCGCCAAATGTGTCAACAACGGCCTGTAGGGCGGCTAACGTCGGAAACAACAGAGCCATCGACGCACGCGTCATTCGATCGATAATGCAAATCGATCCAAACGCGCGCATGCCGGATTAAATGACCACCAGTAGGACACGCCTATCCTGATATTAGCCGCTGAAACAGACACGCGACGTAGACACACGCGTGCTGGGTGTGGCTAGACAAGGCCAGCGCAACAGCATGCATGCGCAGGGAGGGTGAATGGGGCTTCAATCTCGCGCAACCTACCACGTGAGACAATCGATTAGCCTAGCATAAGTGGCCGGATGACCAAGCAACAGCACGAGAAGTACGGTGGGCTATGGTTTAGAGAAGACTAAAGGTGCGGTCGATATAAGAACACTGTAAAGTGCAACTCCAGTGCTCGAATGTCGTACACTAATAAAACACGTTTAGAAAAAGGAAGATGGGAATGACCAAATCCTACTCATGTCAGCAATAGGTCGCTACAGTGCAGCACAACTATTAGGATTTACAGTCGCAGTCTTGCGAGATAGGCGCAAACAAACACAAGGGAGAAATAGGAACTGGTCTTGGGAACAACCTAATCAAAAGACAAAACGAACAGAAAGTTAAGTGAGCCAAATTTCCGTGCATGTGGCTGACAACCGATCCCACAAAACAGTGGAAAAGTTTCTAAAACAACTGCGCACGAAAACGAAGCATGTTTCATCGAAAGTAGTTTAGGTGGTCAAAACACTGACAGAAATGTGTAAATCCGTGGATTGATATAATACGGGCACTGGTATTTACAAAAACCCAGTGAGAACAGGAATCGCACTTAAATGAGTATACTTTTCACCGGCAGACAGATAATACAGCTGTTTCACTCTAGGAAAAGCGCTGAAGCGAATGGCCGAGTGACGCTGATGTTGAATATCTACTAGAGGGGGCAACTGTAACTATTGTTTTGAACCTCTGGACCTATGGTTTATAATTATTGACATCTGAATATTCGGTTGAACGACAGGTTAACAGGAATAAACAGAACCAGAGGTTATTCGAGAGCTGTTCACGATCCCAGATATGCGTCGATAAATTGACCGGTAACAAATGTACCGCGAGTGCAGGATTCCAGTTGCAAACATATCAATCAGACGCAAAACGCTTGCAGTCACTAAACATCCGATAGGCTAGTGCAAATATACCTGAAGCGCGCACAGACAAGCGGTCAGACAGCTGGGGTACGGTGTTGGCGACTGGTGGGAAGAAAGGAAGTGACGCTAAAAATAGGGAACCTGTCGGCTAACGACGTTTACACTGGAGAAGGACAGACACGTCGAATCCGTGGGCATGCGCATCAATAAACGACAGTCTGAATTGAGAACGTGAAGGGAAAGATCGTTTTGGTGAGCTACCGAGGTTGATGCAATGGAACAATGCCGGTAAGCAAACAACCCGAGTAAAGGGGGAGTGAGCAACGCCAGCTACTCCATGTGAACAATTAGTCTGGAGCGTGACAAGTTCTTATTGTCAGTTGTCCACAGAGCGTGGAATAGTGGTTCAGTTCCGTTCGGATTTCCAGCTAAAAACCGTGATACGAAGTGTAGTGGTGCCAGCTTAGTTCGCCCAGTTTAGGAGAACAAGAGAATGAGAGCGATTCATCAAAGGCGATGATTCAATTAGTTCATTGGTGTCAAATGGTTCTGAAGCGCGATAGAATAGTGAGCTACGAATTACTGGAATAGGAATGGAGGGATAAGGACTTACATTCCAGTCTAAAGAGGTGACATCCTTGTTGCTGAGAACGGTTTGACCATCACGATTGACGCAATGGGTGAGAACAAGGGGTTGGACCGGCTCTTCCAGGTTCCAGATTCTGGCAGTTGAATCTCCGGAGCTACGGTTATGAAGGATACCGAAAGAGATTAATGCCAGAACGGGATGTGGATAAATGGGTACGCAAAAAACGCTCATACTTTTAATCAAGGGAAAGTATCCAATTCACGCAATTTCACGCAGAAAATCCGATTTTAGCTGCAGGCTTTTTGACTGAGCAAACATGGTGCTACCGTGTGCACAAATTCCTGAAGCGCATTCTGAGTTTGATAGGCACTTTAGCCTAAGATTAGGAAAATGGATTTATTCTTCTCACTAAGTGAAGAGTGAATGGGACAAAATTCGGAAAGGGAAATAACAAAATGTGAATTTTAAGTCTACTGATCTTAACAAAAATTTAACCTATAATAAGCAATCCGCGATTCTCTATAGCAGACTGTTGGAGTGGAAATTATACAATGTATTGTATCCTTTTATTTTACAAAGAATGATGTACAAAAGTAGAGTGGAAAACGGATACTGGATTGTATAGAAACGTTGGGAAACTTGGTTTTCTAATGGGGTCGAAATGGGACCTGACTTGTTGCGTGACACATCTGTTAACAAGGCTCACCAGTCCGGCTAACCTGCAGTCCGATAATTGAGCGAAAATGTGGTTGGAAATGAAGAAAAGCAGACCGGTTCCATGGTCTAAATTAATCTAAATTAATCTTCGCTTCACATGGAAACGACCGCATGTGTCAACGGACAGCACCAGGATTAGTTCAGTAGAGGGACCAAACAAGTAAACTGCAGTTGGGGCGTCAATCCCTAGCGGCTTTAACTGCTCAACGGAACATGGCATGCGTCTTCTGACTCAGTTTGAGAAAAACGTGTTTTGTCCGCTCAACTGCACACTCGGGGGCGAAATTGTGTGGTTACCTTCATTTTCGGTCTGAGCTCTCAATCTGAGTATATAGACACTGGATAATTAGGGAAGCAATATGCTTCCTAAAATACCAAGGACGGTAATCGAAAGAATATTGCAGAAAAAACATCGCTCGCTGGGTTAACTTAATATGAATGAATTTACTTGAAGTAGTCTTTTATTACACTCGGGTATGTGCTTCTATCGTGGAACCAGAGAAGCCGCAAGACATCCGACTCCGAAACAGAATCCGGCATATTCACTTTACCGGCAATCCGTGTAATACGGCAACACGCGGTGTCGAATATGGAATGGCTATAATTCGATGCACATTTCGTTATACAAATTCAGACCGCGCAGAGTAGGCTAGCACGACTAGGTAACAAAGCAGTTAACCTCCAAGACCTTTGAACCAGTTACTGTAACCCATACACATAAAAGAGACCGGGAGGTTCACATAGATTTGAAGAAATAACGGAAATTATAATCGAAATCTTTCTAGACAAAACAACACCAAGGGATGGAACTGTTGCCCACATTTTGCACTTTTTGGTGTATCCACACAAACTGACGAAAATCACATTCACCAAAACTGTGGTTTCGCCTGGAGTGGATTCATCACTTGTGGCAGAAGAATTACTCGGACTCATTCAATAGGAGTAAAGTTGTGATGACGAACATGGACGGTCTCATAAATTGGTAGCCGAGCGTACTTTGTAACGGTTGCTAAATATGGCTATTCTGGGTTCTGTGTTGACGACGGTTGGGTAACTTGTAGCAAACAAAAGTGAGCAACTGTGAAGAGTTCGCGTCTATTAAGAAGAGGCAAGGTAGCTCCCTAGAATTCGGACCCATTCGAATACGAGCTCAGCATACGGGACCCACCAAGACTCAGCCGGAGGGTCACCTGAGGTCGAAGCGGTAGTCTGTCTTACATTTCCTGAAATTCTACAGAAGCAAGCACTTGCGATCTATGTCGTTTTTGTTTTACTGTCATCAGCAGAAGTTAGGCACACGAGCAATAAAATACGGATGATGTGCTTGAAAAAAGCTACCACCATAGTAACTTCCCAGATGGGGGGGCGATGACCCAAGTGGTTAGAGCGCGAATTTACTGACTGGAAGGTCCGTGGTTCGAACCCTACCTCTCAACTTCCCTTGTCTAGGCCTGGGTAAGCTGGAAGTATCCTACCCTCGTGCAACCTTCCGGTGGCATGGCAGTTAGGCACCGAAAGGATGCTACAGCTGAACATTTTTTTCCCAGATTGGGTTCCTCGGCACAGTTCTTCCCACCTCATTAAGGCGGGATAACATGTCCCTTGGCACATTTACCCCCAAATTCGTCTCCGTGATCTCGCATGAATCACACTTGCAAAGGGTAGAATTAAATGGGAAAGTTTTTGACATGCACGTCGAACGATTTGGGAAGGTTCTAGCAAATTTTACCTGATTTAGCAATACAAAAGTTCCAGCCTCCATTGATTTCGTAAACTCATTAGCTAGATAACTGTCTCCACTGGAAATTACTCGACAGGTTCGAACATAGTCGAAGGACTGACTGACAGGTTAATTTTTGCACACCAATTTAGCAAGGTATCCAAACAAGCGTCGCAAAATAGTTAGCATTTAGCCTCAAAAATATGCGTTGCTTACAAATAAATCAAAGCACTGAGTGCAAGTCAAGAAACCAGGAATCGCATACGCATGCGACGTGATTCAAGTCTACATTCAATTGAGGTCGGTGTATCCATGAGACTTATTTGGTGGCCAGACACATCGTATGGCTTTTCATGTTCATCCCCAGGTCCATCATTGCCTATTTGTACCAACATGTAATGGTGAAACAAGCGAGTACCCGCTACAAGAAACACGTCATTAAACCAACATGACCGGTGTATCCAAATAAAATGATTGGAAATAGCTGATTTGCTGCCTAAAATTGATTGTGGCTTGACTTCTATGAAGGGATCGATAGTCAAGGATAGGCAGCGTCCATAACTCGTACTTCTGGAAATTATTCGTGCACTGCAGTAAGAATGAGAAAATTGTCCAGCTGTAATACCCTAGCTTCCTTGCTACTCGAGAAGAGCACGAGGGCTGAGATACTGGTAGAAGCACTCAAAATGGTGGGTGAGTCTAAACCACGGACCTCCTGGTCATAAATCTTGCGCCTTAGCCATTGAGATCTCTGGCTTGTACACTGCTGTTTCCCATGAAACAGCACAAGATTGTTCAGTGGCTAAGGCGCGAAGTTACTGACCGTGGCGTAAGTCCAATACTGATTTCTTGATTGCTCCTGTCTTGGCTTAGGTATTCCAGCACTAGCCCAGTGCCTTTACTTCCTTCATGCCGCATAGGCGCACGGAAAGGGTGTCACAGCTGAACAGTTCTGTGCTCTCCGGAAGCTCCACTTGAGGGCAGGTGACAACCAGATGTAGTCTAACCAAATGGGAGAAACTGTATTTTCTAAATGAAATCTAAATATCTGCAGCTTGGTAACTGTCAAGTCCTTCGGATCGTTAAGACCGAAAGACTAGATCAGCTTGCGAGAGGAAACTTGTGCCCCGAAACATGGTCCAAAAAACACACATCATTTATTATGAAAGATATGTGACCTAAGTCTTCAGCAGTAACACAGATTAAATGTCTGACGATAAGATGAATGGGAGCTGGTGTCTTGGTTTCCCTCACCCTGAAGCAAGCATGTCCCTTCGAGGATTCCAAGCACAAATAAACACCTCCGATTCGTGGCCCAATAGCACGGTTATCCGATCTTGCGTTATTTGACGAGGAAGTAGGGGGGAGGTGTTGTTCAATTCAGGTAGATGAACACGATCCAGGTCCATTGCTTCACCTAGTCCACGGAAATGATTCACTAGAAGAGGAACAAGGAAAGTATGAAAACTCAGAACCCGAAAAGGATGAAAGCTTTAACGTTCACAACAATGACAACAGCGGTCAAACGCGAATACACCCAGACATATAAGAAAAACAGCACCCTGGAAAAACTGTTCTAATGCTTAATCACGATTAACCCGAAGTACACAGCACTCGTTCGCCGACCACTGTATACAATGTGGACTGATCTAATCACACTGATCTAATCACATGATCTAATCACACACAGTGAAAATCTGAATGCTGCCGACAGGGCGCGAAATGAGAAACAAATCTTGATGGGTAGCGAAAATGTGTTAAACATGGCAAGGTGACAGAATAAATGGAGCCTCAGTTTCAAAGTTAGATCCAATAAAGATCAGAGATACAGCAGTTATGCGTGAACAGGCGTGGAATTCCACATACTTTTTCGCAGAATAAGGCCTACCAATGCCCAACACTAGAGCAGCGTCTGTCGAAAAGCCACTACTTAAGTGACGGTCAATACCAATCAGGGAAAGAAGGAATAAAGGAGCCCAAACGGGTACGAATAACTGCGATAAACTGATTAATCAGTGTAAGGTAATGATAACAACAAATTAATACGAAAACGCCAGCGGTGAATGAGTAACATATACAAGCAAAATCCTGAGTTGCTTCCGCTGGTTGATCCCAACTTATTCAGTGTTGACAGCTGCACCTAGCTTGGGAAGCGACACACGCGTATGATTAGTCTACCGCAGGGTTCCTCAAACTAGTCAAAATTGCGTAGATGCCGGGTACCAAAACTCGTACGATATTGAAAATCACATCAGTCTTACATAGAAACCCGTGAAATACGCGAATTCACGCTCTACTTGACACCAACTGAGCTTTTTATTGAGTGCATTTCGCCAAATGCGGACAATGCGGTGTTCAAGGGCATAAAGTTGACATAAACCTGATGAGTTTCAAGAGGCTCAAAAAACCCTTACCGACGGAAATCCGTAGTAATTGTCATTCAAACAAAAATTATGATTGTTGTTAATAGAAGCAATAAAAATTATTGGTTCAGTTGACAGCAGTGAAACGAATTCTGCCAAGAAGTTGGCCAACACGTAGAGATAGTCAAGATTTGTTTCTCAGTGAAGGCAAGCGGACACAGTGGGAACAGCCGCAATGCTCAGGTATACAAGTCACATGACTTGCAATCCGCATGGCCCGGTTCAGCTATAAAACTGACTCGAAATTGTAAGTAGATGTAAGACTGGCATCAACAAGTATTGTTTAAATATCGTCTTATTTATCCCCACGCATTTCTACCAGAACAAGACATTATTAGACATCTATGTGACCTCAAGTGCTTTGCTTGTAATGGTTGCAGATAAATTCCTCCAACGAAGGCAAGTAACTAATATTATTCAACAGCTCATGTTGAGTCGGGAATGGTCCTTTTTGTGGACGTAGTGGGGTCTCAATGCAGGTAGCGATTGCAACGAGTTTCTTGTACTAAATATGCAACTAGTTCGTCGGTTCATTGTATCTTGACACAAATACGGCCATTGCCAAACAATTGCATGTCTACTTTACATTGTGCCACTCAATTTATCACAGGGGATACGAAAGGATAATACTGAACCCACCAAACGATAACGGTCAAAGATGGGTTCAAGGTAACCAAAAACAGCATACAACTAAAATGGCAATAGTAGAATCTAAAGAACGCGTCACTACTGGAATTGCCGTCGAAATCGTTCATGAATTATCCACCAAAAGATTGCACCGTAACATGATATGATGATCCATTGAGCTATACTACTTGATCCCAACTAAATGACCGCAATTTTTTGCACCATGTTGGTCAATGGATAGAAGTCTCACAAACAGTCTTTTGATTCAAAACATGTAGGGCAACTTCGTCCTCAGCCAGGTGCGAGTTTACTGACCGCAAGGTCCGTGTTCCAAACCGAACCTCAGAATCCCGACTGCTCCTGTGTATGCTTAGGGCAACCTGGCAGTATCTCACTTCTCTAGCCTGCTTCAGGTGGCATGGAAGCTAAGCACCGAAAGTGTGTGAGTGACTGAAATGTATTGTGGTCAGGTTTTGGAACGATAGGCTTCGTCTGAGGGCACCCTGACAGTAGAAGAGTAGCCGTACCGCAATGAACTCCGGGGCCGAAAAATGCTTTCACGGTCGACGCATGATGCCATCAGCCGGGTTGCCTTACTTGTTGCAAACGGGTGGGCAATTGCACCGTAACATGATATGATGATCCATTGAGCTATACTACTTGATCCCAACTAAATGACCGCAATTTTTTGCACCATGTTGGTCAATGGATAGAAGTCTCACAAACAGTCTTTTGATTCAAAACATGTAGGGCAACTTCGTCCTCAGCCAGGTGCGAGTTTACTGACCGCAAGGTCCGTGTTCCAAACCGAACCTCAGAATCCCGACTGCTCCTGTGTATGCTTAGGGCAACCTGGCAGTATCTCACTTCTCTAGCCTGCTTCAGGTGGCATGGAAGCTAAGCACCGAAAGTGTGTGAGTGACTGAAATGTATTGTGGTCAGGTTTTGGAACGATAGGCTTCGTCTGAGGGCACCCTGACAGTAGAAGAGTAGCCGTACCGCAATGAACTCCGGGGCCGAAAAATGCTTTCACGGTCGACGCATGATGCCATCAGCCGGGTTGCCTTACTTGTTGCAAACAGCAGGGTGGGCAAGCTGAATTAGAATCATCACTTCCTGGATGGGGACCCCGAGACGGACCATATCAATGGTTAGAGATATTCTCAGACATGGCCCAGTCACACCCTCAAATGGCGCTCGTCCATTCAAGCTGTTGCCTTCAATGCATAGCTCCCTCCCCAATCCCCTCACTTAACAGTCCACCTACAGTGCTGTATTTACGCACTAATTTATCAGCTCCCGCATCCAATACGAAGCTACCTAACCCGCCTCCCCGAATCAGCGGTGGACGAAACTGCGGCAGCTACAACCACAGTACGATAAGTACGCGGTTATTACAGCTGACGATGATGATGACCATCATCATTGACATCCTATTGGCCATTGAAATCCGTTGGCAGCCGTATCTTGTAGCGTTTCCAACCAGGCAGTGAGGATCACGCGGTCCCAATCCTGGAAGGCGAGTAGCACCAACAGCACCCAAACGTTTCGTGATTTCTTTCATACCCCTCTACCAGGTCAAGGGTTGGCCATCTCTCTGCTTCCAGCACTCTGAATTGCACATGGAAAACAGCACTCTCTTCGGCAAAAGATGGTTATACATGAGCAACACATCTCCCGACCAACACAGCTTCCGGCGCTGGACACATTCCTTAACGGATGTTCCTGTTGCACAACGGAAAGCTCGATTTCTAACCGCCGCGTTCTGAGACAGCCATTTTCGAACACCTGAAGATGTCTCAGTTACGTTGATTGAACAGACCCAGTCTCAGCCATAAAACAAAACAGCCCGCACTGAGCTTGATACACACGTCCTTTGAGATTCAGGAATACACCACTTTGACGACATAGGTGTCTCAAATTAGCGAATGCGACCCGAACCTTGCATGTTCGTGATTTGACCTCACCTGTCACACTACAATCAGAGCTAACATAACGCTCCATAACTTCCAGTGTCTTTCCCTGGATTGTAAGTAGCGTGTTCAGTGACTGCCTGTCCAGGAGCATGAACTTACACTTTGTGGGTGCGAAGTGCACACTAAAAATACCTGCGCCTTTGTGATGTACACGATTCTCTATTCATTCGTTTCGATGTTGCACGTGCTATATTCAAGTCAATTTGAATACACACGTCCTGCTCGTTACGCCGTGCTGAATTACCAACCAAAGGACGGGATGAATATGGCCAGTTTATCATCAGCATCAAAGGCAGGAGCATCAATGTTGGCAAAGATGCTTCACTGCCGTTTACATTAAAAGCCCTAGAAAGGAAACGGAAAAAGGGTGACGGAAGGGACCTGTTGCTGGTGTCAGTCAAGCACCTCCAACCGCTCAGTCAGACAATCTAGAAACTATCTGACAGCACGAACGCCACTGACGTCGATTAGCCGCCGTTTCTTGCAACGTCTGCAGCCAAACACACGCGGGATCATGGGGACCCCATCCTGGAAGGCGTATAACACCAACAACACCCAAACTCTTCGCGATCGCTTTCACGCTTTTCCGTCAAGTCACGCTGACGACCTCATGTTTTGCGCCACTCTCAAGGAGGAACAGAAAACAACACTCGTCTCGGTAGATGGTGTTTCGGCATGCGTAGCATATGACCAAGCCATCGCAGTCGGTGGTGCTGGAAGCACAACCGAATACCCGTTTTTCAATCACCTTGTTAATAACACGCTGACGCCACCCAAAACCAGCCACGCTTCTGGGGCATCGGTGGCCGAAAACCTGAAGACGTCTTACATCATACGTCCGCAGAGGCCGTCTCACACCCATTCAACAACACAGCCTTTACTGTCGCCTGGTATATGCGACCCCTAAGATCTAGTGATCAGTTAATTCAAAAACACTTGCGCCTTATCCTACTGTTCGAAGATGAGAGCGATGTCGTCTGCATATTCCAGATCGAGGTTTTCGTCACAGGCTGTTTGGACACCGGGGTTTTGGAGGCCTTCAAGCGTTCGTCTCATGATTTAATCGATCACGAATTTGGAAAGGAATGGGGAAAATGAGTATCCCTGACGGACACAACTTTGTGTACAGAAGCTTTTGCAGATGCTGCTGCACTTCAACGTATTCTTTGTTTTCTATTACCACATTCATTGTATCATCTCTGCAGGTCCCAGCAACAGGACTGACAAGATTGTTCGCCTTGCATGAAGTTCAACAGCTACTCTGAGTGTCCACCTTAATTAACAACCCTAACAACCTCGATTTCAGTTTTCAAATTCCAAAGACTGTCCTAATGAGCGGCTTCCAATGTTCGCACTCTGGAGTAAGCATGACAACAAGCTGTTCTTGCTCGTACGCTGGATTGTTGTTGATT